GGTGGGTGGTTATGTCACGCGGCTCGTTGGCAGGGCGGTGGCTTCGGTTGTGCACCGGTTGCTGCTTCCAGCAGGACCGAATTAGCAGAGTTTGGCCCCGTTTTGCTCTTTGCAGCCTCTCAGGCGTCGTTTCTCCCCGCCGCATCGTCCCTCGAGCACGGGGGTCCCTGCTCCGTCCTTCCTCTTCCTCTTGGTGACCTTTCAGGGCGTCGTGCCGGGCGTCTCTGGTTACCGGAGCAGATGAGCTATCGATCGCAAGGAGGATGCTTGGCGCTTCCCACCCTCCGAGACCTTCAAGCTTGATGCTCGGGGCTGGTGGGGCTGGATTTGCCGTGCACGGGATAAATTTCCTGTGCACGGGCTGGATTTACCATGCACAGGCTGGATTTGCCGTGCAAACTGGGACCTGGGAGCAGCATTTCTGCTTCCTTGCAAGGTTTTGCAGCAGCCGGAGCTGGATCCATCACACCTGGGGTCTCCCCACGTTGCCTCCTCTCCCGGGGATGGATCCGGGGGGCTGATCACCCCTCTCACCCCATTTCTCCTCCACTCCTGCAGGAAAGCCTCGGGGAAGGGCCCAGGTGGAGCATCCGGACCCCCCGCGCCATGGCTTCGTCCGAGCTGCCCCCTCACCCCGCAGTAGGTACTGTCAACCTGCTGGAGCTGGGATTTTTTTTTTTGGGGGGGCGTGGGGGTGCATCTGCCTACATCTGCCTTGTGCAGAAAGGGGGGTGCATCACCTACACATCCCCATTGGAGCCTCTCGGGGTCGTGAAAACACGAAGGGCTGTTGCATCTTGCAGTTTTTTGGGGGGTGATGCTCTCCTCCGTCCCCTGCATCCCCCTTCGTCCCCCGCATCCCTCCCCTCCTTGTTGGGGTGCAGCAGCACCATGGCGGGACGCCGGGTGACACTGGTTCTGCTCGCAGGTGACCATCTTGCCCCAGAGACCCCCAGCCCCCTGCCTCAGGGGGAGGAGGACCTTGGCGAAGCCTTTGACTTTGAGGACAGCGAGGAAGAGGAGGAGGAGGAAGAAGACTCGGTGGCCGAGCCGAGCGGTGAAGTGGTCCTCCGGGCACCCCCTTGCAGGCGACGTGCTGCCAGCTCCAGCGTCGGTGAGGGGGGCAGGCAGGGGGTCCCCGATGTCCCCACCGTGTCCCCTTTGGGTGCTCAGGGTGGCATCGCTGCAAGCCTGGGTGCCAACGCCATTTCTCTTTGCTTTTCCTCTCCGCAGATGGGCTGGTGCCAGAGACCCAGGAAGGGTACGTGGGGTTCTGGGGGGATTTTGGGGGGTTTTGAGTCCCTCAAGGGAGAAAGCACAGCTTTGGGGTTTGTTCCCCCCTCTTTTGGGATGTCGCAGCCTGGCGCCGGGCCTCAATTTCCCCAACTTCTCCCCATTGCTTGCAAAAGGGGCTGCAAGCAGGAGAGCCCCGGGGTTTTGGGGTGCCCCGGGGAGCTGCGGGGGCTTTGCGTACTGTCAGGGGTTTTGTGGTTAACTGGGTGGTGGGGGGCTTCCTCCAGCCCCTGACCGAGGAGTTGGGGGAGAAACCCCATGAGATGGGTGTTCGAAGGGGGCTGGTGTTTGCCCCAGCTGTGGATTTGGGGGAAAAGATGCAAATTTGGCTGCAAGGAGAGCTTGTCCCCCCTGGCGGAGCATGCACGGGGCACAGCAAGAGGGACAGGACCCCCACCAGGGATGGGGACCCTCTCCCCGTGCTCCCCGATGCCGGCACATCCTCCTGCCCTGCAGCAGCACGCGGACCGAGGCTAAAAAAGCCATTTTTGGGTCTTACGCATCATCCCCGTGTGGGTTGCCTGGACCCACTTAAAAAGCCATCGTGACCCTAAAACCCAGGACCCCCCCAAATCCGTGGGGGCGGGGGGCACGAATACGAGCTTTATTCTTGTGCTTGTGAACCCCTGTAATAGGAACGGGGGGGGGGGGGGGGGGGAGGTTTGCACCTTGGGGTGGTCCCTGACCCCCTTCCCCGCAGGCTGCCAGCGGGGGTGAGCAATGGGGAGGCTGGTGGAGAGCCCCACATCAGTGCCCAGACCTGGAAGAGGAAAAGCGGCCGCCGAGGTGGGGTAAAATGCCGGGGGGGGGAAACCTGCCAAGGCTTGGGAAGGATTTCTCCATCCTGGCTTGATCCTCGGGTGGTGACCTGAATCCCTGGGGGGGTTTTCTTGTCCCCTCCCCCGAAGGTGAGCGCTTCGAGTTCCCGGCGGTGGAGGACGATGTGATCTATGACGATGTCCCCTGTGAAAACCTTGACGCCGAGCAGGACGGTAGGGACAGACCTTCCCCGCCCCATTCCCCAGGGACCGTGAGCCCATTTTCCAGCCAGGCAAACCGAGGCACGCTCCGGGAAGGAGACGCTTACCCTAGAAGAGGACGCGGAGGGGGATAACCCTGGGGAAAACCGCTGGGATTTGGAAGGGATGAAGGCAGATGTGTTCCCAGAGGGGTTGCAAGACCCTGAGGATTTGGGGCATCTCCTGTGGGTCCCTGGGGAGGGGAAATGGCCTTTCTGGAAGGAAAAGGAGCTGTTTTTCGCTTGCCAGGCCCGGGGACGGAGCGCAGCCTGATCTATGAGGAGGTGCAGCGCGGCGAGGGGCCGCGGGCGGGCGAGGATTTGGGCTGGAGCTCCAGCGAATTCGAGAGCTACAGCGAGGATTCAGGCGAGGAAACCAAGCCAGAGGCCGAGCCGGCCAAGCAGCGGGCATCCTTCCAGCCCAAGGTAACGCTTGAATTTATTTATTTTTTTTTTTTATTAGTCGTTTCCTTTATTTTTTTCCCCTTGGGTTTGCTTGTATAAAGGCACCGGAGCATCAAGCCTGGCTGCTCCTGCAGATGGTGAAGCAGAGGATGCTGTGGTTCCCGGGGTCAGCCGGTGCAAAGCCAGCCCGAAACTTCGGGGGTTTCATTTCTTTCTTTTTTTTTCCTTTCTTCCCCCCCTTTTTTTTTTTTTATTTTTTCCCCTTTCCTTTTGCATTTCGGCATTGCTGGAGCGTGGCTGCTGCCTTTCCCTGCACTTGCTCCCTTCCCCGCTTGAGTAAAGCCAGACTTTTGGGAAGATGCTGCCTGTACCGTGCTGCTTTGGGGTGATTTCTCCTCTTTTTTTTTTTTTGGCTGCTTACCTGGATCTCTTCTCTGCCTTCTCTCGCCTCCTCTGCCTTCTCCTCCCGCCTGGTTTGCTTTGGGCTCAGCTTTCTCCAGACCTGAATAGACTAAAGGAGAGATACGCCAGGACTAAGAGGGACATCCTGGCTTTAAGAGTTGGGGGGAGAGACATGCAGGAGCTGAAGCAGAAGTACGATTGGAAGGTACTGTCCCTCTTCTGTCCCTTGTCCCCCAAATTTCCCGGGGGGCGGGGAAACCCTCCGGGAGTTTATCCAGGCTGAATTCATCCCATTTCATCCCCCAGAAGAGGAAAAAAAAAAAAGAATTGAGTTAAGCGCCACAAAGCTGCCTCTCATGTCCATCTGTCTTGCAGCTCCCCGTCCTCCAGCTGCCCAAACCATTTGCTTTTTGGGTGTTTTGTTTTTTTTTAAGGGGCGTTTGGACGAAGCGAGGTTGCCCGCGGGATAGATGGATCTGAGAAGGTTTTTCCCCCGATACGGGGTGGAAATCAGGTGGGGAAGGAGATTCTTGGGAGGTGTAGAAACTTAGTGCAAAGCCTTTCCCAGCTCCAAACCGTCCAGGTCGGCAGTTTACGGCCGGTTTGGACTGGGAAGGCGACGCCGATGTCAGCTTGGGCTAAAAATGCTGTGATTTGAGGTGTGAAAGGCCAACACCCCCCACCCTTCGCTCTCTCGCACATAAAACCCCGGCCGCGAGGAGGGGACGGGTGCGCTCGTGCCTCCCTTCCCTCCCTCCTCTTTGCTTTCGCTGCATGCTCCCGCTTTGCCCGCGCCTGCTTGCACACGCGGCCGTGTCCCTGCGGAGGGAGGAGAGATGCTGGAGCATCCTTCTTCCTCGGCCATGTGCCTCCTCTTCCTCCCTGTTGGGCTGCGTGGGGAAAACGGGGACGATGCTCGGAGGGGACGTCCCCAAGGGGATGGCACTGCCGTATCCGGACCCGAAATGGGGTCCCCGGTGCTGCCTCGAGCCTCCTGGTCCCTCTCGTCCCCCTGCCCAGATGACCCAGCTGATGAAAGCAGCCAAAAGCGGCACCAAGGATGGTTTGGAGAAGACCAAGATCGCGGTGATGAGGAAGGTGACGTTCCTGCACCGGAAAGAAGCACCAGGTAAGCGGGGAACCACCCTCCCCCTCCCCGCTTTTGAGAGAGCGCCAAAAAAAAAAGCCTTTTTGAGGGTATTTTTAAGAAAATTCATTATGAATCCTTACGGCTTTCAGCTTTTCCTTTTGCTGATTTATTTTCTGCCTTTTAAGCTCTTATTTGATTTTTTTTTTTTTTCCACTCTTTGCATCCCTGCGCAAGCTTGGTCAGTTCGGCTCTCTCCTTGCTCCAAGCACCCATGTCCTTTTGGGAGCAGGACAGCGACCCCCCCACGTCAGCACCCATGGGTGCCCCCCTCGGACGCAGAGCAGGATCTGCCCTGAAATACTGATTTTTGGGGTGTTTTCCTAACCCTCCCACTGTCGTGTAGGGGATGGGGAGCGGAGGAGGAGGGCAGCGGAGGCGGAAAAGCAGCCGCCTGCCCGCTGGAGCTCGAGGGTCTCCCTGGAGCATCACGGGGGAGGTAGGATCCCGGCGGGCGGCCTTGCAGCTCGGCCGGGGCTGCCCGGGGGATCTGGCGTGTGTGTCCTGGCCTCGCTGCATGTTCCCGACGCGGCTTAGCCTCGCCAGGGTGGGGGCTTAAATGCTATTGGGGTCCCCGGGGTGCTGGAGGGCATCCCGTCCCCAGGGCGCTGCAGAGCACCCTGTCCCCAGGGCGTGGAGATGGGGAGAAGGAGCTTGTGGAGCCTGCAGCCGAGGGCGGCGATCCTCCCTGCCAAAATTAGGGAAGGAAAAAGGTCACCCGGCCGCCAGCTCCCTCCCCTCCAGCCCGGCCGGTCCTCCCCGTTACCAGCTATTTATAGGCAATGGGGATGGGGCCGGGGCGGCCGTAGCGGGGCATTGTGGCCATGTGGAAGAAGCAGCCGTCCCTGCGTCGCGACGCCGCCTTGGCTCGCTCACCCTCCTCCTCCTCAGCTGCTTCGGCCTCGGGTAAGGGATCGCCATGCCGGGCAGCGGGCGCTTGCCTCTCGCCTTCCCCATTTTCTTCTGCGTGCTGCTTTTGGCTCCTTTCCCCCGCCATTTTCCCTGCTCGCACCCACCCTTGGAGCGAGAACGGGGGGCTTTTCCCCCAGCCAAGGTGGTTTTTGGGGACAGGGACTGTTTTTGTCCCCTCCCCATGGGGACCTGGCTCAGTCCCCGCTCGCAGCCTGACTCATGCTGGTGTCCGGTGACAGTGGCCGGAGCTTGGGGACAGACAGGCGATGCTGGGAGGACGCTGGGGTCCATCTCAGCTTGCAGCTCCAACCCCAAATGCAGCCCCTGCAGCATCCCAGCCAAGCAGCTGAGGGGGCTGCGGGCTCTTCTTTAGACCAAAAAAGAAATCTAAAATTGGGGTTTTTTGGCATTTTATTGTGGTTTGTTTTGTTTTTTTTTTCCCCCCTGCAGGGGACTCGGAGGAGGAGGACACGGGTTTCCTGGAGGTCACCGTCTCCGACATGAAGCACCCGCCGCCGGAGCTGGGCCCCATGCCCGAGGGGCTGAGCCCGCAGCAGGTCGGTGCGGGGCGGCTTAGGGGTTTGGAGGGGGGCACGGCTTCCCCTTGGTCCCGTGATTGAGCAATCGG